CTGGAATGCGAGATCCAGGGGGATCTGGGCTCGTTTGTAGCTGTGTCACTGAGATCAGCGTAAGACCTGGCCCTTAGTAGATGCTCAAGAAGTACTTGTCAAGAGAGAATAAAGCCCTGCTGACCCCACTTCCCCTCTCAGAACGGTCTTTGTGTGTGTGTGTGTGTGTGTGTGTGTGTGTATGCATGCATACATTTATTTTTTATTTGAAAGGTCAAGTTACAGAGAGGAGAGAGAAAATCTTCCATCCATTGGTTCACTCCCCAAATGGTCAAACAGGTCTGAGCTGGGCCAGGCTAAATCCAAAAGCCAGGAACTTCTTCTGGATCTCCCACCAGAGTGCAGGGACCCAAGCACTGGGACCATTCTCCACTCCCAGGCTATCCACAGGGAGCTAGATCAGAAGTAGATCAGAACCAACCTTTCTCCAGCCCAGAGGCTGAGGCAAGCCCACCTCTCTCTACCCTTGTGTCCATGGTGCTCTTGCAAGCCTCAGGGCCCAGGATTCCTTTTTTATTTATTTTTTATTAGAAAGACAGATGGACAGAGAGGAGAGACAGAGAGGAAGATCTTCTGTCCAATGACTCACTCCCCAAGTGGCCGCTCTCCCACGCAGGTGCAGGGTCCCAAGGCATTGGGTTGTCCTTGATTGTTTTCCCAGGTCACAAGCAGGGCGCTGGATGGGAAGTGGAGCTGCTGGGATTAGAACCGGTGCCCATATGGGATCCTGGCACGTTCAAGCCGAGAACTTTAGCCGCTAGGCCACCATGCCGGCCCCCAGGATTCCTTTTTCCTTCTGCCCCTTTTCCTATGTGACTACCAATACTTAGGAAGCTCAGACGTCAGCTCCTCCCAACAGCCCTCCCTGCTTTCCTCTGTTCTGCCTCTGTAGATGCTGAGTGCCTTTTGTAAAAAAGGCACTCTCTTTAAGAGAGAGGGTAAGGCCCTCTCTTTAAGAGAACCTCCCTGCTTTCCCCTAAGCACGGTAGCCCCTCGAGGTTGGGGCTGTCCAGTTCATCACTATGTTCTTAGCACCCAGCCCCAGGTTGGCCTGGCATAGGCCCTCAAGGCACACTGATCTGGGTTGACCTCATCACTGCTGGAATAGGGGACTGCAGGATTAGACAGGCCAAAGTGGTATCTCCCAGCCATACTGCTCATAGCAAGACATTGGCTCTCTTTGGGCCTCAGTTTCCTTGCCTGTAAAATGGGACCCCTTAGTGGCCCAGCAGTGTGGCCTAGCAGTTAAAGTCCTCACCTTGAATATGGGTGCCGGTTCTGATCCCGGTGGCTCCACTTCCCATCTAGCTCCCTGCTTGTGGCCTGGGAAAGCAGTCGAGGACGGCCCAAAGCTTTGGGACCCTGCACCCGCGTGGGAGACCTGGAAGAAGTTCCTGGATCCTGGCTTCAGATCAGCATAGCCTCAGCTGTTGCGATCACTTGGGGAGTGAATCATCGGATGGAAGATCTTCCTCTCTGTCTCTCCTCCTCTCTGTATATCTGACTTTCCAATAAATAAATAAATCCTTTTTTTTTTTTCACAATTCACTATCATTTATTTATTCCAATTCTGCCATGCCTTGGTGACAAGCGGCATCCACCACAGCCTCACTGTGGGCTGGTCCTTCATGCAGCTGTGGCTGGCTGCCCCCTGGGGTCTCCTCAGGCTGGGAAACTAGGGGGCCCGCACACTCCTTCACCGGGCCACCTGCCCTCCTGCAGTCACGGGGTGTACAAGTCAGGTCCTCACCCGAGGGGGACGCCTAGGAGTGTGGCCGGCTTCCGCTTGGACACCGGACTCCCATAGCGTCCTGGGGGGGGCGCGCAGTGAACGCTCTTGGCCGGGTCGGTGAGGCTGGAGAGCAGGGGACCACTCGTCCATCACCGCCCGCCGCCATGGCCGTTCGAAAGAATAAATAAATCTTAAAAAAAAAAATGGGACCCCTTAGTCCCAGCTCAGGAGGATTTGGAGTCTTCCTAGGTGTGTGAAATGCAGGAGAGGAAGGAGAGTGACAGGTGCACGGTGCCTCCTTCTTGTCTTGTGGTTGCTCAGCTCAGCAACCTCCTCCAGGCAGCAAGCCCTCTCCTTTCTCTCTTATTTCCATTTAAACACATCCCGATTGTCATCTTCTTGAAAGACAGGACAACAGAATGAACGAGGCAGGCAGGGTGGAGAGATCTTCCATCCACTGGTTCACCCCGCTCCCTCAAATAACTGCCACAGCAGGGGCTGGACCAGGCTGCAACGAAGAGACCAGAACTCAGTCTGGGTCTCCCATGGGGGTGGCAAGGGTCCAAGCTGCTCTGGCCCCCTCACCTGCTGCTTTTCTCAGTGAAGGACACTGATGTGCCCAGGCAAGCCTTGGGCCCTGGCGCCTTGTCCTCTGAGGTGCTTAGAGATAAGAGGAAGTGATGGTGGCACTGGACCACGCCCTGCGTCCAGAGTCACATTTCTGAAAGCTCCAAATGACTGCACAGCCTGCCGGCTGTGTGAGCCAGGGCAAGCCTCTCTTCCTTCTGATGCCTAGTCTCCTGAGAGGGAAGCTAAGAACACCCTCCATCCTGAAGCCCACACAATCCAAGAGCCACACCCCAGCAGGCGCTCAGTTACCCCTCCCCCTAGCAACTTCCTGGGCTTCTCCTGATTCCTCCTGTGATGGGGGGGGGGGGGGGGGGGGCAATCTACCTAGGAAACACCTTCACCACGGGCCCTAGTCTAAGAGGAGGAGACTTCCTATGCCAAACGGTTCTTTGTGATCTGGCTGGAACAGTTGCAGCCTGAGTTAGGTGTTGGGACAGCCAGGAGGGCCTAAGAACTAAGGTTCAAGCGTGTAGGGGACCTGCCAGCCCCCATAGAGTTTGAGGAGTCCTTCAGAGACTCGCAAGGTGGCTCAGGATCCCGGACAGCGGCACGCCCTTCAGCCCGCACCACATCCTTGTGCAGCGTTTGTTCCATTGTGCACAGAGCTGCTTCAGACTAGCTGCTCGGCAACGGTGTGAGAAGGTCAGATACATCCCATGCAGCCAACAGTTATTAAACACCTGCTGTGTCTTGAGTTCGGTGCCAAAGGGTGATGAACATAAAGCAGCGGTTCTGACAGTCCCTACTCAGGGCACGTGCCAGGCCCCTCCAAATCCTGCTAGCTCTTCCCTCCCACAGCCCTGCTCCCACAGGATCCTGAGCAGAACTGAGGTGGTGTCCAAACATGAGGAGGCCTCCAAGTTCCTTCCCAGTCCCCCCACTCCAGCCACCTTCCCTCGGACCTCCCAGTCCCAGCTCTTACCACCTCCCAACTTCCCCACGCACTACATCTACCTGGGCTCTTATCCAGAGCGGCCAGCAGGTGGCGCTGAGGGCTCCCTCTCCCCAGGGCTGGACTCTGGGCAGCTGACCCCAGCAGGACCCTCCCCCCCCCCCCTGCAGCCTGGACAGGAGTGGAGTCTGTGACCTTTAGCTGATCCCGCACCTTCCTGCCGGCTCCCGTGATGGAGGTTCCAGCTGCTCCTGTGGGCCCCCTGGTTGCCTTTTCTGCCTGATGGGTGGGGTAGAAGGGTCTCTAGAGGCCAAGCTGCAGCTGGTGGGGCGGGGCAGGCAGCAGCTGCCAGGAGAAAGAAGAGAGTAGAGACACAGAGAAAGAGAGGAGAGAGGGAGAGAGGTGCCATAGCTCCTGGCTCCTGCTCGGGTCAGGCCTGCATCCCCGCTAAGTTCCCCTACAGGACAAGGTATGTGGTCCTGGGGGGTGGGGGGCAGATGGGGGCTGGGGTGGCGGAGGGCAGCCAGACTGCTGCTCAGCAGGAGCTGCCTCCCATCTCACCCCTGTCCAGGGCCTCAAGCAGGAACTTGGGGCCAGTGGAGGGGGCTCAGGGGGTGGCCTTGAGAGCCTGCTGACCACTGCCCTTAAGTGTGTGTCAATCTGCTTCCCTGATGGGGGCCCCAGTTTCTTAATCCAAGCCCAGCCCCCCCCCCCAGGGGATCTCAGCAGCGGCCTCACCAGCCTGGGGTCCCCAGGGACCCATGCACTTAGCAGCCATTAAGTGTTCAGAGGGTTGGGCCAGGCTTGGGTGCGGCCGGCAGGCAGGCAGGTTCTTAAGAGATTGTTCGAGATTTCAAGCTAGTATCAACCGATGTTCTAGAACCCCTTGGAGCGGGGGTGTCAGGCGAGTCCTGCTGCTGTGGGTTCCCAGGGTAGAGGAGGCCCTAGTGGGCTCCTGGGGGTGGGTGTGGAGCCAACATAGTGCAGGCAGGCACGCGGAGCGCGCTCATTGTGGCTCCCACGGCCGGGGTGCGGGGCGATAAAAATGGAGACCCTTGAAATGGACCGGGCTGGGGGGTCCCAGGATGCCACTCCTGTGACTCGGAGTGCCTTCAGCAAACATGGAGCACCTACTGTATGCACCCCACAGTATGCTCGCCCCTCCACTCGCTCCTGCCTCAGCCAGCGAGGCCTCGTTCTGGTGATGGGGGAGAAGCCCCCGGGACAGCTCTGGGGTGTGTTTGTAGGAGGGTAGTGAGCATCCTCAAGGCACCTGCCCCTCTTCTTAGGAGAGGGCAGAGCTGGGGCCAGGTCGGGGCTCGGGGTGGGGGCTGGGGGCGGCAGGGGCGCAAAGGGTCCTGCAGCACCTGCAGGAAGGGGTGGCGGGGTGGGGTGGGGGCGTGCTTCGGTGCGCTGCAGCCCCCTGAGTCTCCGGCCTGGCAATCGGCTCCAGAATGAGGGCGCCCTCCACCCCTCAGCCTACCCCCGCTCTGGTTCTCCCCGCAGCGGGGCCGCCCCGCCCCCCGGGCGCCCGACGTGGACGCGGCCGCCGCCACCGCCACCGCCGCCGCCGCCACCACCGCGCGGGAGTCGCTGTCCGCGGAGCCGACATGCAGGCGGCACGGGGCGGCGCGGGGCGGCCGGGCCGGGCGGGCCGCGGGCCGGAGCGCGAGCGCCAGCGGTCGCCGGACGCCGGAGCCGCGTCCCCCTGCGCCGCCCCGGGCCGAGCAGCTAGAGGGGCCGCCATGCGCCCCGCGCCGCCCCGCGCCGCGTTCCGCCTGTGGCTGGGCTGCGTCTGTTTCGCGCTGGTGCAGGCGGGTAAGGGGGCCCCTGAGCCGGGTCGGTGGGGGGCGGGCTGAAGCGAGCTCCTCTCCCGCGCTACGCGCCCAGGACTGCCTTGTTCTCTCCCCCTGGCTCTGGGAAGTACCCCTCCTCCAACCCAGCCCCCCAGCGGCTTCCCTAATCTTGACCCCTGCACCTGTCCTTGAGCCTTCAACCCTTTTCCCGTCCTTCAGCCTTGGTTTCTCAGGGTCCTGTGATCCCAAGACTGGAAGCCCGTTCCCCTGACCCCAGCATTCGCCTCAGACCCCCCAGCTCCTTTCTCTGACTCAGAACAGCTGTGGGCAGCTTCACCACCACTCGCCCCACCTTAGGCCTCTCTCTCCTGCCTCAACGACCTGGTGGGGCCCTGCAGGCCAGCTCTGCGGGCCCTGGCCTGGGATGCACCCTGAACAGGTGCAGTGGCTTTGGGCCTGCCCCAGGGGCTGGCCTTGGCCTTGCTATCCTGCCCCTGTCCCTTCTGGCTGCTGCTGGCTGACTGTCCCTCTCTCCCAGCCGCTGGTGCCCTCTGCTTGTCTCCCCAGCTGTAACACTTCACTTGCTTGTCTGCTCACCCGAGCTGTGCCCGTGTCCTTTTTGCCTCCATCCCCACGTCTGGCCTGTCTCCTTTGGGCCTTGTGTCCACTTGGCTGTGCGGAGTGGAGCCGCAGTTCAGGCCCTGTGGCAGCCCCTGACCCCGTGGCTATGGGAACAGGTGTGACCCCACTCTGCTTTGCCCCTCTTCCCCCACCATCTCTCGTCTCTGGGTCTCCATTCCTCATCTGTTCCATCCAGACGGTCCTGCCCTGCGCTCTGGTCTCCCTGCTGAGCTGCTCCATGTGCCTCCCAGGGCTGGCAGGGAGTGGAGAAGTGTCCCCAAGCTGTACTTTGCCTGGATGCCCCTGGTCTGGGGTGAAGGTGGGGATCTTGCTTCCCCTCACTGCCACCTCAGGGTGCCTCCCATCCTAGGCTCCTCTCTGGGTCTTTCTCCTTCCATCAAGGTCACACACTTGACCATGCAGCAATAAACACTGGACCCGGAGTCCCTTGGCTTACTTTCCAACAGGCTGGGTGTTTGCTTCGGTGCCACTTTGCTCCCCCAACTCTGACTCCAGGCACCCAGCCATTACACCCAACCTTGGCTTGGGCCCCATCCACTGTAGCCTGAGACCCCTGGTGGGGCCAGCTTGGGGTCAGCAGGGGACTCTCCCCCCATCCATCTCCACCTGGAGCTGGGAACTGTGTCACCTCCCCCCTTGGCCTGGCCTGGCTCGGGTTCTGAGCCTGTGGGTCCTGGTCCTGGCTGTACAGTGTGGGGGAGAGGGGTTCTTAGGCTCAGATGCCTTCCTGCCCTGCCCCCCAGACAGCCCCTCGGCCCCAGTGAACGTCACCGTCAGGCACCTCAAGGCCAACTCAGCGGTGGTGAGCTGGGACGTCTTGGAGGACGAGGTTGTCATCGGGTTTGCCATCTCTCAACAGGTAATCAATTGTGCAGGTACCCCGAAGGGAGGGCACCACACTGAGGTGGTGGGGTGGAGGGCAGGTGGAGGGCAGGAGCCAGGGATGCAGGCAGCAGGTTGCAGGTCAGGGCCCCAGGAGGGAGTCATCGAGCGAGGCTGAGGGGCCTTTGGGAATGAAGAGCTCCAGGTGGCTCTCACTTGCACCTGGGTTGAAGACCTGGCTCCAGTTCTCACAGGGTGTGTGGCCTCAGGCAGCTTTCTTAACGCCTCTGATCCTCAGCTGTGAAACAGAGAATGGGGCCAGCATTGTGGGGCATCCGGTTAAACTGCTGCTTCAAATGCCTGCATCCCATATCAGGTCCTGGCTGTTCCACTTCCTCTCTGGCTTCCTGCTCGTGCCCACAGGAAGGCAGCAGAGGATGGCTCAGGTAGAGGCCCTGCTGCCCACATGGGATGGGGCTCAACCACAGCCATCGCAGCCATTCGGGGGAGTAAACCAGAGCATGGACATCTGTGTCTTCCTCTCTCTGACTCTGCCTTTCAAAGACATAAAATACATCCATTTAAAAAATTTTTAATACAGTGATTTTTTTTAAAGAAAAAAGATGGATTTATTTATTTATTTGAAAGGCAGAGTTACAGAGAAAGAGAAAGGGAGAGACAGTGAGAGAAGTCAGTTTTCCATCCACTAGTTCACTCCCCAGATGGCTGCAAAGGCCAGAGCTGAGCCAGGAGCCAGGAGCTTCTTCCAGGTCTCTAATATCATGGTCCAAGCACCTGAACCATCCTTTGCTGCTTTCCCAGGCGCATTAGCAGGGAGCTGGATCAGAAGTGGAGCAGCCAGGGCTCGAACCAGCACCCATGTGGGATGCTGGTGCCACCAGTGGCAGAGCTTTACCCACTATTCTACAGCACTGGCCCCCAAATCCACACAGTTTTACAAATGGAAAGCATGATGGCAGCGGTGTGGGGGGTCAGGACTGTCACCACTGGGAGCGGCCAGGTTCTAACAGCCGTGGCACCTGTCTCTGCAGAAGAAGGACGTGCGGATGCTGCGCTTCATCCAGGAGGTGAACACCACCACCCGCTCCTGCGCGCTCTGGGACCTGGAGGAGGACACGGAGTACATCGTGCACGTGCAAGCCATCTCCATTCAGGGCCAGAGCCCAGCCAGCGAGCCAGTGCTCTTCAAGACGCCGCGTGAGGCAGAGAAGATGGCCTCTAAGAGCAAAGGCAGGCTGGGCTGCTGTGAGGGCGCAGGGGTGGCGGGGAAGCGGCAGAGCATCTGCTGCCGCAGCCTACCGGGTCCGTGGAGCCCTGTGTACTGCGTATATGGATGCCTGCCTGGGCAAGGAAAGGAACCCTGGAGCCAGTGTCTGTCCCTGTCTTCTGCAGATGAGGTGACCATGAAAGAGATGGGGAGGAACCAGCAGCTGCGGACGGGAGAGGTGCTGATCATCGTGGTGGTCCTGTTCATGTGGGCCGGTGAGTGTGGGGGTGGGGATGGCCATACCCCCTCTTCACACAGCTAAGAAGGGATCTAAGGGCATCTGAGGGTTCCCATCACCGCCTCCCCACCACTTTAATCTAATCTCACCTTACCCACAAAGTAGCCGCCTTGGAGCATCGCTGCAGGCCTTTTCTTCCCCTCCTCCTCCAGAGTGGCTCAGCCTCCGCACTGGACACACCCAGAGCTAAGGCCATAGCCAGTGCCCTTCTGCCTCTTCTGGGCTCTGAAAGCTTCAGGCCTGGGAAGCTCTGAGGCCTCAAACCTGGAACATTCTAGTAGCTCCCTCAGTCTTCTAGATTTAGCTCAGTGATCCCCTGTGGGCACAGCATGTGCCTCCCCCCCCCCCCCGCTCCGCCCCGCCATCTGTGAGGCTGGCCTCAGGTCCCCCAGCTCCTGTGCACCTGATCTGTCTTCCATGGACTCTAGCTTGCCTAAGGTAGTTGGGCTTACCCCTTGGCCCAGGAGCTTCCCGAGCCTGAAGACAGAGTTTCATTCACCCTGGTATTTCGTGCAACCAGCAGGTTCTGAACAGCTATGCCCTTCCACTCCGTAACACATCCTCTTGTGCTTGTAAGAACTCAGGACGAGGAAGGCATGACTCTACACCTAATTCAGCATGGAGCATGCTGCAGCAGTCCCATGTATGGACGCGGAGGAGAGGGGAGGATTCATTCAGAGGCTCGGGGTGGAAATTAGGAAGAAGGCAACGTGGGGCTTGGGCTTCGAAGAATAAACAGACGGCCCTGTGAGGAAGGGTGTGTCAGGGCCCCACTGTGGCCAGCAAGCAGAGGGAGCTCCACCTGGCGCAGGGGAGCTAGGCTGCCACAGTGAAGGTACAGAGGGGCAGTGAAGAAAGGGTGAGGCTGTGGCATGGCTCCGTTGACAAATCCGAATGCCCCGCTACAGCTTCGGGAGCAAAGAGGCCGAGAGTGTAGGCTCTGCCATAGACACAGGGAAATGTTCCTTGGGCACCTAGAAACAGGGAGCTGGGAAAAAAGCAGGGAATGCCAAGGCTCACACGAGGGAGGAGGAAAGTTTGCTTGCGGCCCGTTATTAGGCTGGGCGTGGGCAGTGTTTACATAATTGTACCAGTGTCAACATGGGCAGCTAACCCTGGGTCGTGACATGATTCTGCTACAAGGTTGGGGAGAGCGGCAGGGGGAACTGCCCAGCGTTCTCTGCCAAAGTGGAAAGTCGGCAGACACCCAGGGTGGATGGAGAATCACTCTATAAACACAGAAGTAAAATGGGGGCAACACCTAGACGTGCAGCCAGCTGCCTTGACACCATCTTGACTCTTCAAGTCTTCCTGGTGTGATGAAATTAAACATGTCAGGGAGATCCTTGCCAGCCACACCACGGGGTGACCTTGAAACCTGTTCATTTCATTCGTCAGCATTGGTGTAAGCTGGGACGGATGCGAGTAGGCACCCTGCTGGGGTTATAGGGATTAAGTGAGCTGGGACATGCACGGCGCAGGGCCTGGCACCTGCTCCATGCATGCTCATATGGCATTTGATTTTCCCTGAAGGGAGCGGGGAGAGGAGAGATGCAGGTTGCTTGTAGGAGGCTCAGCTGAGCTGCAGGGAAGGGTGAAGAGTACGGAGCCGGAGGCAGAGAGAGGCTGCTGCAGCAGCACCCGGGAGAGACCAGCTGGTAGGAGCAGGCATCAGCGCAGGTGCAGTGAAGGGGGCAAGGCCAGAACACAGGCCCTGGCCTCTGACTGCCCCTGCATGTCCAGGTGTCATCGCCCTCTTCTGCCGCCAGTATGACATTATCAAGGACAACGAGCCCAATAACAACAAGGAAAAAGCCAAGAGCGCCTCAGAAACTAGCACCCCAGAGCACCAGGGTGGGGGTCTTCTCCGCAGCAAGGTGAGGGCAACACCCGGGGTGTTGGGGTAGGTGGGTGGCCCTTTGCCTCGTGTCCTGGGGAGTCCCTGGATTGCCAGGGCTTGGCACAGCTGTGGCTGGCCAGAGCCAGGTTTGGCCACTGCCTGTGTGACACAGGGGACACTTGAAATTAGTTTTTGGATCCTCTCCCTTTGCAAGATGCCAGGGGCCAGTGGTGGTTAAAACACACACACACACAGAGTGCAGTGACCAAGGTTGGGGTGGGCAGAATTCCTGAGCATTCCTGGTTGGTGTTAGGACAGCGACAAGAGGGGGTCTGGGCTCCCTCCTGCCCCTGCTGTGCTGTGTGACCTCGAGCAGGCGTGTCACCTGTGTGCCTTCATTTCCTCCTCTGCATCACAGATATGAAAATCCTTTCAGTACTTGCTCTAAGCAGCCTGGAAGACAGACAGCAGAGGATGGGGAAGGCTGTCCCGGTCCTGACGGGGACTGTCCAACTGGCATCTGGCCCTCTCTGCAGCTCCTCTTCCCTCCGGCTCGCCGTCCTCTCTTCTGGCTTTTCTCTCTCTCTCTCCTTTCTCTCTTGGGAACCTTTTCCCGGAGTCTCTTGCTAACTCTAATCTTCCAGAAGCATGTCAACAGTGGCTGAGGCTGCACACAGAAGCAGATGTGAGAAGCAGCCCCAGGGAGGACTTTGCGGGGTGTGTGCGCTGCTGGGGCCCAGGCCCCGGGCGTGGCTGTTGAGCTGGGCGAGGCTGAAGGCCGGGTTTAAGAAGGCAGAGGGCCAAGACTGCCAGGCAGGGCTGCTCTTTCCTTCCCACCGGGGACGAGAGCCCAATCCCTAGGCTGCTGTCCCTCTCTCCTTCCAACCTTGCAAGAAGTCCATTCAATCAGCCCTGGCCGCTTCTCTCATTTTTCTCTCCCAGTTTCCAAACAAGCCCTCAGTGAATATCATCGAAGTTTGACTGCAGGGAGAAGGATTTCCTCTTTCTTCTGTCCAGGCCCCCAGGTCCTTGGGCACAGGGTCAGGGACAACAGCAGCGGGGGCGAGAGCCTCCGCTCGCTGCACAGTCCCTCTTCCCTTTGTCCTGGTCTGATGAGGAAAGCTGAACTACAAACCCAAATTCTGCAAAAAAAAAAAAAAAAAAGCAAGCCGCACAACTCAAGGCTTGCCCGCCCCCCTCGTTTTCTGGAAAAGGCAAAGCTGCATGAGACACGGCCTTCTGCCTCCTCCTCTTCTGCTGGACTGGCTTCCTCTTTGGAGAAAAGCTGTGTGAGTTGACAAGCGCCAAGATGGACTCCAGCTGTCTTTGGGCCGAGGGAACATGGAAGCCTCAGGATGCCTGTACGCGGGCCCATGGCTGCCATCCAGCCCTTTCCAGACCCAGCCACAAGGGGCTTGTGTGGGTTGCGAGGGGGGAGGTGCACACCCTTGCAAGTGTGGGAGACCTTGTGGTTTATGTCTTTTTGGAAAACAGAATCGGAAGGCTGCACTCCAGAGGGCAGAGGCATTTCCTCGGGGCCTGAGCTGCCTGCCTGCGTGTCTCCTTTGCCCCTTATTCTAAGCTCCTCAGTCTGCCACCTTCCAAAAAAACCTGGAAGGTCTTGGCCTCATTTCCTTAGGAAGCGTCCTTGAGAATTTCAGCCTCAGCGCTGGCTTGGATGGCTGAAATGGCACATCCATATCCCGCACCCAGGGGGCCCGCTAAGCCACCCCCTCACGCTGCAGCAGAAGCTGAGCCATGCACACAGACCGGCAGAGCAGCCCTTGGCCATCACCACTGCCCTCTGTGTGTGTGTGTGTGTCAGGTGAGGTCTTCATGTCTTGCCATCTCATCCGGGGTTCCCACGTGAATTAACCCAGGGTCTTCATGTCCTTCCCTAGAGCCCAGGTGGTGTGACAGGTCTGTCTCCTCACTGCCCCCTTCTGGTTAAAAGGTGCTTGATGCGAGCAGGCCGACTCTTGCCTAGCACTGATGCCTGCATGGGAGGAGGTGGACTCTGCATCTTCCGCTGGTGGCCAAGCATGGGCGCGTGGGAGGATGGTGCCCAGCATGCAAGTCTGGCGCACAGTAGGTGCTTGGAAAATATCTATCAAATTGGATGCAAAGAGCATTGGCCCCCAAGCTGGAGAGCTGAAAGCCATCATCCAGGGACCATCAACCGGTCTCCTGGAGCTCTCTGGACTGGTCAGCCTCCGCTCTGCTCCACCTGGCAGAACATGACAGCACAGGGGGCGAGAGACGAGCTGAAGAGCAGACGTCAGCGACGCTAAGGGCTTCTTCAGGGGAGGGCATGAGGCTCTACTCATTGTTTTGTGACTTCCATCCCTGCCGAGTGGGGCTACAAGGCCAAGGCCCCTTAGGGGAGAGGTCCTTACCTCTGATCCAGTTAGAGCAATAACCACTTTTTAAATGTAAAATAAAAAGACAAATGAAAAGGCACATCCTTGTCTGCTGGTAAATGCCCAAATGTTGCCCTCTTTTTCTGGCGGTTGGCAGCAAGTCAGGATGTGTGGAGGAGGCAACCAGTTCTCTCTCTTTCTCCATGTTGGCCTGCGGCTTCTTGGGGACGTGCCTGCCAGCCGAGCTCGAGTTGGAAGGGAAATCTCGAACAGATGGGGGTGCACGTGTAGGAGAAGAAAATAGCTGCTCTATCAGCCTCTTCTCGAGGCTCCCCCAAACTGAGCTGGGGCTGCCTCCCCGCAGAGGTGTGCAGGTTGCTGCTGTGTTCCTTAAACAAAGGGGTTTTCCCCACTGGAGGGGCTGCCGCTTTCACCGGCCTGGCTCCCCCCACGGTGAGGCAGGAAGGGGGAGGGAGTGGCCAAGGTTGCTTTGGGCAGCTCGGTTCCTACAGCCTGCTGTTTGGGACTGCTGGTATCTGGTCTCAGCTGTAGCTGGAAGGCAATAATGCTGTTCACCAGGCAGCAAAACAGCCAGCAGGGCACTTGGAAACCCTCCTGTCCAGAGCCAGGAAGGACTTGCAGAGAAAATTTTCAGGTTAAGTGAGGCTTAAAGTAGGATCTTCTGGAAGGTTTTGGAAATGGAGGGAAAGCATGTCTCAGGGGCTAGGTGGAGAGGTAGGAAACCAGTTAGCACTCAGAACTCTTAGGTATTGACCTGGCCCTCCGTGCCCATCTAGCGCCAACTGATGGGGAAGGCTGTGTGGACACTGGACACGGGCAGCTGTCAGCAGGGCCGCTTTCCCTGCGCTTTTCGTGTTTTTGCAAAAGGGACAGGGAAGCGGAGCCAACACTTGCTGCTTAGACAAAGCTCCATTCCTTTTCACTGCCTCCCCAGGCTCCCAAGTTCCACAATAACTGCTTCTTCTGGATGCAGTTGAGCTGCATACTTGAACCCTGTTGTTATCTTGGGTCCTTGCAGCACCTCAGGTGGATGTGCGGGTTCCTCACAGCAGGGGAAGGGCACAGGCAGGCACTGAGCTGTGGGAGGACTGCTGGAAGCAGGTGTGGCAGCCTGCCTGGCCACCAGCAGCACCTTGGGCAGGGCTGCACCGGGGCAGCTCGCACTCTCTCCTGGAGCTCACCCGCCTTCTAGGCGCACACTCCTAGGGAACACACAGGTCCAGGCTGGCAGTAGGGGTAGAGGAAAACTAGTCCTTGGATCCTCTGACTCTTGTTCCTTCTCAGTTGGGGCTGCTTCTAGAATTCCTCCTTTAGAACACCATTCCAATCCTTCAGCCAAGCGGGTAGGAGCTCCCTGGCTGTTCAGGCGAGGCGCCACTCACCTCCTCCTGAGCCCCTGCTCTATTTCTTTAAGATTTATTTATTCTATTGGAAAGGCAGATTTTAAAGAGAAGGAGATACAGAGAGAAAGATCTTCTGTCCACTGGTCCACTCCTCAAGTGGCCACAATGGCTGGAGCTGAGCCAGAAGCCTGGAGCTTCTTCCAGGTCTTCCATGCAGGGTCCCAAGGCTTTCCCAGGCCATAAGCAGGGAGCGGGATGGAAAGTGGGGCAGCCAGGATATGAACTGGCACCCACGTAGGATCCTGGTGTGTGCAAGGCAAGGATTTAGTCACTGAGCCATCATTCCCATTCGCCCCACCCCTGTGCCACTTCTCACCTTCTGAGCCTGCTTCACCGTCCTTGCACCTAGTAGTTTTTAAACAGCAGCCTTCCAAGAACACACCGAGTCCATGATGGGACCCTGTGCTGCAATCCCCAAATTCTATCAGTAACAAACCACTCGCAAATTCTCAAGGAAATCTTCCTATTCAAATGGCTTCTTAATGATAGATTCTGAACAGCTTTAAAGGGTATCCCAGATTGCATCCCACCCCGTGACCAGTGGGAGCTGGGAGGGCCACATTTTCTGTCTCTGGCATGTGGCAGTTGTCCTCAGAGGAGGAATGACAAGGCAGGAGCTGCTCGTGAAGGAATTCCACAACCGACCAGCTGACATGCTCTGTGACAAGTGGAAATTTTTTTCCTGACAGGTGCTCTGGCACACAAAGCGATCAGCGCCTAGAAGCAGCTTAGTGAAGAACTGCGTCCTCCCAGAAAAGCAGGGCATTGCTGAGAAACCCAGGGCACTCCGCCTCTGGTTTTAGGCAGTTGGGTATTTTTCCTTCCTTTAAAAGCTCAAAACGTGTAGGTTACAGGATGAACCTGATCCTCTTAGGCCAAGTCCTTTCTGCCTTACTTTCTTAGAACACAGAAGGAACTGTGGGCGAGGGAGCTCACCCCTGCTCGGCGAGTTTAGGTCAGTCGCAAACTGGCAAGGACGGCAGTGGTAACACACTGCTGAGATGGATGCGACAACTGGGCAGGGGAGCACCCACAGCCGGCACAAGCAAAGCAGGCGAAACGTGGTCAGGAGCACTCGGAGTGGGACAAGAACGTTGAGTAAGAGCGCCTCCCACACTGGGAAGAGCCTGTTGGCCAGAGCTCAGACTACGGGCTTGGTTTTGCTTTGTTTTATCTTTGATGATGTTTACATAGCCAAGAAGAATGCATGCTCATGTGGACCACTGACCAGTGTGGGAAGGGGCGCGTAATAGAACAAAGTGGATGAGACCACTGTTGCCAATTATTTTTCTTCTTCCTGTATCTGGGGGAAGAGGGCACAGAAGCGGAGAAGCCACACCCAGCATGCCAACTGCATCAGCACCTGGCAATGGAGGACGGTCACCTGATATCATCCCAGGGTCCCCAGTGTGGAGCATGCTCCAACGGTACTACAAGTGGTGTCAATGGTTCTGAAATGCTGTGGATTTTGTTGCTCCAACGGAGGAAATGCTGCCAAGGTCCATCGCCTGACATAGTCCATCTTAAGAGTTTCCATTTGCCCAGACACTTGGCTGTAAACTCTGGGCTGGGGTAGTTCTCCAATTTGTTCTGCCCTCAGTCCTCTGCTATGGTACTAGATGTCCTCTGAAGGACCCAATGGACTGTCATATCCCACATGTGCATCTGGGCATGTCTGCCACTGGACCACCTTCAGCAACTGAGGAGGCCCAATTCTGACACTTGTACTTCATGGTCAGATCACAGATCCTGCAATTTTCCCAGCTGGAATTCTGAGTTCAGTAATCCAACCGGGAGGGTCCCCACTGAAACCTCACCAGAGGTGACCCCAGATCTGACTCCTGTGTGTGTCAACCAGCATGGGGTCTGGCTCAGTCCATCATTCAATCAGCTTATACACACATACTGGTGGTTGCAGTGTTGGGTCAGTTCTGTCTTCAGCCCCATCTCTTATGCAAACTGATGGATGATGCAGTCCAACCTAACCCTGCCCACCACGTGTTTGACCTTTACGTATACCAGTGGGAGCTGCAGCCTAGTCAAAGGGACCCCCAATTGCCCCCTTCCAGGCCAGCCCCTGGCTCCTGGGCATGAGAGTGTGTGCAGCAGACTCATCTGATCTGTCCCACATCCCATTTGACTTTTATAAACACCAATGAGTGCTTCAGCCTAGATAGTTCTACTATCCAGCCCATACTTAGACTTGCGGGTGCTACTACCTGTCCAGCTGGGCTCATCCCCAGCCCTGGTTCTCACACTCATCTGTGGGAGCTGCAGTCCATCAGAACGGTGCCTATACTTTCCATATTAAGCCCACTCCCAGCCCCAGATCTTGTACTTTCTGGGTGTCTCTGTGGTCTAGTTGGACAGGACTTGCCCCCATTCCTAGCACTTGCCAGCTGATGCTGTGGCAAAGCCCAACCGGCCTGTACTTACTCTGGTTCATGCCTGCACCAGTGGACACGGTAACTTATCCCAGCCTTATCTCCCCCAACCCAACCCACATGCAGGCCAACGGGTATTGTAGCCCTGCCTAGCCTGGTCTGCCCACAGTCCTAGTTCTCACACTTACCAGCAGGAGCAGTAGTCCAACCGGGAAGCCCCCATTGACCCCCCCCACTGGACTATTTTCTCCCCTCACCTCCCCTGGTCTTGTATGTGCTGGTGGGTGCTCCAACTGTCTGACATGGCAAGCATCACTATAGCAGTTGCTGGCAGATCCTACAGCCTAGCCCAGCCCAGCCTGCCTCCAGATCCAGCTCATGCTGGTAGATGTTACAGCTAGCCCAACCCAGCCAGCCTCCAGTCCTAGCCCAAAGTGAACTGGCTGGTGTTGTAGCCCCACCCGGCCTGTCTTGCATCACCTCGTGCTTCTCACATCTGCTGGTAGGTGTTATGAACTGGCCCAGGCTGGCATGCCCCCAGACCTGACTCATAAATATGCTGGTGGGCACTGTAAGCTGGCCTGGTCTGGGCTGCTCCCAGCCAGCCTTGGTTCTCGTACTTGCCTACAGGGACTGTGACCCAAAAAGAGTCCCCTAAATTCCTCTATCAGGTCACCTCCCAGTGGCAGATCTTACGCACACTGGGTGGGTCCTTGGCCCTGCCTGACTTGGTCTACTTCTTGTCCTGGCAGGAACAGTAGCCTTGCCTGACAAATCAAGACTACAGGTTTTTGTCTATAATGCATCCACTGGATAAAACCTACAGACTAGCAGGCCAGCGAGCCTGTTTCAACATGTTGCTGTTTTTTTTTTTTTTTAAAGCAAAAGTGTTTAATCTCTACTTATTGTGTGTTTATTTACAAATACTAAATCTGAAGTACAGTACAAGAGGAAAGAGCCGTCTGTTTACACATCTGTGGGGCTTGCTTATTTTCTGAGTAGGAGTTGAGATTCTGAAAGCACTAACACAGGTGATAAGTTATATTACAGCTTGCCCTTTTGTCTCTGCTCCTGAGGGTAGGTCTCTCCAGCTCGAGTTCATGAGAGGAATCTAAGGCGAGCTCTCTCACCTGCCTCTGTGCCAGGATCTAGCAGCAGTGGTCCCTGGAGAAGAGGGCTAGCTAGAGCCTGGTTTCCCACAGTCCTTTAAGGGAAGAAGGCTACCTCCTGCATACAGGGCTGTTAGCAAAGCAGTAGCAGGGCCAACCACAGCACAGTAGTGCCCACCTGGTTGGGCCGGACAGGGCCAGGCTGAGCCATCTGCCTTCCCCCTCTGCAGAACAGCAGCAGTGATATTTCAGGCTCTCCCCGTGTCAGGTTCCTGACACGCACCAGAGGTAGCTGCAAATCCCAATCAATTTCAACATCTCCCTGCTGGAACGCCTTTCTCAACACTGTAATTTACCCTCAAAAGAACAGGGAGCGAGCACCCTCGCCTTCCCAGTTCCCCATTCTATTAGCTGCCGCTCCTCCCATACCCGCTAACCTACCCACGCAAGGGAGGAAGGCAAACAGCCCTCCTCCACAGCCGGCAACAGACGCGGCCACAGTACAGACTCCACGGACAAGAACTTTTATTTCTTTTTAATGACATTAAACACAACTGCTACAAGAGGGTAAAAAAAAAAAAACATGATAAAGAGGAGGCACCAAACGAGTTTCATAATTGCTCCTGATGACAATGCAAGTAAATCAGGACCTGCATTCAATGCAAAGACACAGGTTATCGTAGGCTCCTTATGCACAAGTCAACAGAATGGCACATTTTACTCTGCTTGCTCAAGACCCCTGTGGTGAGAATCCCACGGATGAACAAAGCTAGGGAGGCACTTAAATGCACATAACTCTACTTAGATTCCAATACAGCAAGAATTCCACCTGAAATGCTAGACTGAGAGGCCGACACCAAATAAGACATGTAGCTTGAAAAGATTCAACCTCCAGATTCTATCTACCACCGTTTTTAAGGCAAACATGCCAAAGAATGGGTTTCCTTTGGTTTCTTTTCTTCTGAAAGAACGCTCTGTTAGCTCTCTTCCCCTCCTTCCATCTCGCCCCAGCCCAACGGATTTAATCAAGCTGTGAAAGCTTTGGAAAAACAGAATTATTTGAGCTAAGAGGAACTGTGATTGTCACGTTTTCTAGTTAACCTGTCACTCATTCGATTTGGCAAAGGCAATGCTCCCATTACACATTTAGTCTTAAAACTCTGTACTGGGGGCTAGATTTTGACATGAGCAAAATACTGTCCCTTTACATTCTTGGGTTTAATGTGGGGAACCCGAAGCTGCAAGGTTAACTACTCTAGCTACACTTCCTTTTAGTTGTTATGATCCCAAAGGTGGATGGCTGGCACATCTCGCTCCATTTGGGCTGACTTAGAGCAGCCTGAAGACGTGACCAACAAAGGAAATGCCAATTATGTCAACTGAAATAACACATTTTTACTATTAACCTCCAAATAGGAATTTGTATTTTGGCCCCAGAATCTAAACCAAATATCCAAGGAAAAGAGAATGAAGCAAAAGAGGAAACGCTTACGGACACCTATCCAGATTCAGAGGGAGCTTAAAGAATCCAGATTTTCCCAATCAGTTTCTGTAATGGGGTAGGGCTGCCTGAGATGGGTGACTGAAATGCCAGGACAGGACAGGTAATTCAACCAAACCAGAGACGACAGCAACTACAGCAGCTGTTCCAGGCAGCTAACAATTCTAATGTGAAACTGCCCAAAATGACACCTAGGCTGTCTGCAAAGAAAGAATGACACACTGATAAGACATCCATCCAAGTCAGATGAACACAATCTGTCACCTTTGGTTAGAACACCAAATGGGGAGATCAAGTTATGTTTATGTACAAAAGCTTGTGTCAGGTGGGTCGGACCCCCAGAGCAGTCATGTGAAACCTCGCGACAGGGCCTTGAGCGGATGCAAGGAGGTAATGTCCTCTCGCTAACAATGGAGATGAAGAAGCATGTCTCCCAACTCTCCCACCTCCCACAAGAGGGGGGGCTCCCCGACACACACACGTGGAACTTCAACCATTAGCTCATATGAGAATTGGGGTTCAGCAGCTGACACTGCAGAGCAGCTGTAGCTCAGTGGCACTGCCTGTTGCTGAGCCAAGACCCCGGGCAGGCAGCTCTGCAGCAAGGGGGCAGGAGGACTGAGAGGACAAGCTTAAGCAAGGGGCACTGGGGGAACATCCTCGAGGGGTAGTGGAGATGGCCCCAACACCACAATGTATTCCTTGTGACATTAAACTTAAGGTTAGTCAGCAGCCTTTTAGGACACGGAGATTTGGGAATGCTATTGTACAAAGCTTAACAACAACTGACGAAGCCACATAGTAATAAACGCAGCTGTGGGGTACAGAAAGATGAGGCTCTGCACTTTTAATTCACCCTTTCAACAGAATTTTCTTCTACTTCAAATGTCCTGGATTGCCAACTTTAAATACTGACAGTTATTCAGAAATCCAAACAAAAAAAAAGTAACAGACGGTGTTAAAAGTGGCACGGCCATCCCCAAGTAGTCAGCACCAATCAGCAGTGCCTCACACCAGCAGGGTGACTTGTCTGAGGCACCAGGAGACATTTTACTTCTGTGCTCAGGAGCCTGGGCATTTTGGCTCAATGTTGGCTTTCAGGAGGCAGCCACTTTCAACTTAAAAAAACAAAAGGTATCAATTTAACATTATTTAAACACACATATATAATAACATAAAAATAGGAGATATCGCATACAAAAAAAAAAAAATTCAAGTCAGCAACAGGCATTTCCAAAAGGTGACAAGTTGTTTAAATAAAATCTTATGAAAAATAAAGCTCAAAATCTACAAGCACAAACAGCAGAAGAGAAGGAGCTGCTCCTCTGGCCAGGGCCCTGGCGTGGGACCCTCACTGCTGCTGGGATGAGACAAACGGACTGTACGATAAGTCGGGGAGGTGCTGGAACCGGTGGTAGCTCCGCTTATTCCAGTCAACCCACTGATTCAGGCTGTATTTCTGTGGAGGATTCTGTCGGTACCGGGCGTAGTTTCTATTGAGAGACAGAATAAAAACAGGATGGCTGGAACGGCTGTTTGTACACAAAAAGGGTAGCACACCTAGTTTCAGTATAGCTTCACTTCTGGAAATTACATACTACGTTTCCATGTCTAATTTCCCTATTTCAGACATTTAATGCTATATGTGAAAGCCACATCATAAATAACTATTTCTTTCCCTAATGCTCAAACCCACCCAATTCTCACAAAGGTAGTGAGAACATTTACATTGTTCCAGGAAAAACTGAGTAGAGAAAAATGCAAGGCCTCCCTCTCCCCAGGCTATCTCATGGCTTGCCTCAGATCTGAACCCCCAGCACTACCTCCCTGCCACACAGCCCCAGGTGGCTCAGCAACAGTCACATGCAGGGCTAGGGTTCCCACAAGACCCTCAGAGATAATCTGCTTCCATTCTCAACTTCAAGACCCTTCAAAACAGGAACCTGGAGAGCTTTTCAAACAGAGGGATTCTCTGTTCTGCTTGCTCCCAGAGTCAGGGTCCCCCAGGTGGTGACAAGGACAGCCAGGTTTCAGAGTGCTTTCATCAGTGCCTGGCATGTATCTAACACTATACACAAGAACTTACTGAATTCCTTAAACCTCTCATCTCACTTAATGCTAAAGACAACCATACTAGGAAACCATTCCCATAACTCCTTTTACAGGTGAGGAAAGGAAGCCTCAGGTTAACTTGCCCAAAGTTCTTAGAGTAAGAGGAGGAACCTGGGCCTCAGCCAAATCTGAGTTCAGAATTAATTTAACAGCGGTTGAACTACACTGTTTTTCTGAGAACCGTGATTTTTGGCAACTCTTGAGAACTGTGAGGGAGAAATGACCGACAGGGTTAATCAGAACAAAAGAAAACACCAAAGGGCAAGGAAGTCAGCTGAACTAAAGCAGAGCCAGAGCCAGAGGAGAGGAGAGGAGAGGAGAGGAGAGTGAAGGGGAAGGGAGGGGAGGGGAGGGGAGGAGAGGGGAGGGGAAGGGAGGGGAGGGAAGGGGAGGAGGCTGGCGAGTTTAGGCCAAATCACAGAGGTCTTCAGAGTGGGCTGATTTTTAAATGTATTTTTCAATTTTTTTTTTTTGTATTTGAAAGGCAGATTTACAGAGAGAGGAAGAGAGAGAGAGCAGAGAGAAGCCATTTTCATTTGCTGGTTCACTTCCCAAAAGGCTGCAAATGGCTGGGGGTAGTCCAGGCCACAGCCAGGAACCTGGAGCTCCCTCTGGGTCTGCGACATGCATGGCAGGGGCCCAAGTACTCGGCCTTCTGCTGTTGCTTTCCTAGGCACACGAGCAGGGAAGAGGTTCAGAAATGGAGCAGCTGAGACTTGAATCAGCACTTATACAGGATGTAAACATTGCAGGGGGGGGTGGCTTAATCCCCTGTGCTGCAACGCTGGCCCCTATCATAGATTGTGAGATGGAAAGGCAGCAGAGAGGATGTGATTTATACTTTAAAGTAGACTCTGTATGAGTTGAGAACAGTAGATAGCCAAGATAAGCAGGGAGCACATTTAGCAACTTGCAAAAATCTAAAACAGTAAGAAGTGGCCAGGGCCAGGATGTGTGTGGAGCCTAAAGGATTTGTTGACAGACTGTTGACTGGAGTCAAGAATGACCCCAGGGTTTCTGAATAACGAGATCCAAAGTAACTCAATAAATCTGTAAGCCATAGTTCCAAGAATCCAGACTTCAAAGAAAAAATAAAAAGAATCCAGATTTTAGAACTAGGAAGGTCCTTTCATATAAATTAGTCCAGCATCTTCATTTTACTGATGTGAGGACCAGAGAAATACAGAGATTTGATCAAAATCAGAGAGCCAAAATAAAGAAATCTTTAAAAAAAAAAATCACACAGCCAGTTAAGTATCTCAAAGCAAATACTAGAGCCTTGGTTTCCTGAACTTCAGTTCAACTGGCATTCTCTTGGGCCCGGTGGTGTGGCCTAGTGGCTAAAGTTCTCTCCTTGAACACACTGGGATCCCATATGGGTGCCGGTTCTAATCCCAGAAGCTCCACTTCCCATCCAGCTCCCTGCTTGTGGCCTGGGAAAGCATTCGAGGACGGCCCAAAGTCTTGGGACCCTGCACCCATGTGGGAGTCTGGAGGAGGTTCCTGGCTCCTGGCTCTGAATCGGCTCAGCACCAACCGTTGCCGCTGCTTGGGGAGTGAATCATCAGATGGAAGATTTTCCTTTCTGTCTCTCCTCCTCTCTGCATATCTGACTTTGTGATAAAAATAATAAATCTTAAAAAAAATTTTTTTTTTTGCATTCTCTTAAACATTTCTTTTCTCACCTTGAAATTAACAATTACAATCCTGACACCCCACCACATTCTCTCCTACCCTTTTTCTTCTTCCAGTCACCTACTCACCGCATGGTCAGATCTGAAGGGTGCTGCCGCTTGGGGTTCTGCATATGATGAACTTGATCCATCAAGGCGTACAGCTCTCCCAAGGCACCTGGGACACAGAGGGATCAGTGGTTAGGAAACAGCTGACCTAGTGAACGTCCTGAGAGCTTCGACCATAGCACACACTTTCAGGATGAGAGAAAACAGGCCCTGCTCACCATGATACTCACTTACGATCCCAGCAAGTAGTCGGCACAAAAACCGCAAACCAGAGTGCAGGCTTGCCCACCTATGACAGCAAGGCACTAACAGCAGCCAGCACTCATTCAACATTCACCAGTTCCTACAAGAAGTGAGGGACCTCACTGGGCCTTAGGAATGCAGCAGCCAAAGACACACCGCACCTGTCCTCAGTGAGGTTTCTACAGAACAGAGGAGATCCCAAAGTGAGGTGATACAGAAAAGGGGATTGCAGCCACCAAGTGTGGAGCCAGAGAAAGCCCACATCGAGGAAAGCAAGCCATGTGAAAGATACTTAGAAACTGGTGAGTAAGGAGGGTTGGAAGTTGAGTGTCTGAAAAAATAACTAACACAAAGGGCTGGTGACAAAAGACAGCACAATACATTTAAGAAACAGGAATTTAGAATGAATGAAGGTGGGTGCTCTCTGCTAGCATGAAAAATAGCTAGAGGTAGAACTTCTCAAACGCCTGGGATGAGCATGGCATCATACTAGGCACTTTACATGTTACCTTATTTAGTTCTTAAAAAAAAAAAAAAAAGAAAGAAAAAGTCTTAGATGAACTGAGATCATTTCACAGATTGGAAACTGGCTCAGGAACTTGCATTGAATGCTTAATAACCCAGACTCAACCAGCTGCTGTGTGAGCTGTGCCCTTCCCACTGTCAGAGAAAGCAGCTTTGTACCTAACGGTTGAGATTTCAACAGAAGCTGAAAGAAAACATTAGGAAATTTCTCCAGACCAGTGGCTCTTACATTTTAATATTCATTATTACAAGCTGCAGGTATCATAAATAGATTGCTGGGCCCCAGCTGCAGTTTTTAATAACATAGGTCAGGGTAGGGCCCAAGAATTTATATTTCTTTTCTTTTCTTTTTATCTTCCGTCCGATGGTTGGGCCGTCCTCAACTGCTTTCCCAGGCCACAAGCAGGGAGCTGGATGGGAAGTGGAGCTGCCAGGATTAGAACCAACGCCCATATGGGATCCCGGTGTGTTCAGGGTGAGGACTTTAGCCACTAGGCCATGCTGCCAGGCCCCCTTTCTTTTTTTAAAAAAGACTTATTTTTATTGGAAAGTCAGATTTACAGAGAGAAGGAGAGACAAAGATCTTCTGTTAGAGGGCTAATCTCCAGAATATACAAAGAACTTCAAAACAACCAAAACACCAAAACAAACAAGCCACTCAAGAAATGGGCACAGGAAATGGGCAAACATTTCACAAAGGAAGAAGCCCAAATGGCAAACAAACATATGAAAAAAATGCTCCAATTCCCTGGCAATAAGGGAAATCCAAATTAAGATGAGGTACCACCTAACACCAGTAAGATTGGCCCACATAAAAAAGAACACCAACAACACTTGTTGGTGAGGATGTGGGGAAAAGGGAACCCTACTCCACTGCTGGTGGGGCTGCAGGTTGGTACAGCCTTTATGGAAATCAGTATGGAGAACACTTAAACAACTCAAAATCTGTATACCATATGACCCAGCAATAGCACTCCTAGGAATATATCCAGGCACGACAAACCAACATGCACCCCTATGTTCACAGCAGCACAATCAGTAACTGCAAAAACATGGAAGCAACCGAAATGCCCATCAGCAGAAGATTGGATAAGAAAGCTTTGGTTCATCTACTCCATGGAATACTACTCAGCTATTAAAAAAAACAAAATGCAGTTCTTTGTGGCAAAATGGGCCAAACTGGAAACTATAATGCTAAGGGAAATGAGCTAATCCCAAAAGGTTAGATACCACATGTTTGCCTTAATTTACCCTGTAATTTTTTTTTGTTTGTTTATTTTTGAACCTGTCATTGATACTGTCTCAACACATGTGTTTTGAAAAATTGAACTTGCATTATTTTTAACATATTGTTTACTACTCAATACTATGTCAATTAATTCCATAACACTGTATATTGTTGCTAATGTTTTGTTGGGGCTTTTAACTGACCAGGATTTTACTGTTAGCTCTGCCTTCAGACCAGAGAAGGTCTCCCCAAGAAGCCATTAAAGTTATCTGGACAATAAGATGCTGGACTCTATGCTGGGTATGTGCTTGCAATGAAGGAATCTCAACTGAACTTGAACTGTGGTTATGCAGCAAGGTGGAGGAATCCACCATGAGGGGAGGGTTGTGGGAGGTGAGGGGGAAATCCCAGTGCCTATAAAACTGTATCACATAATACAATGTTATTAACAATAATAAAAAAAGATCTTCTGTCTGCTGGTTAACCCTCCCCCCCCACCCCACTCAAGTGGCTACAATGGAGCTGAGCTGATTGGAAGCCAGGAACCAGGAGCCTCCTCTGAGTCTCCCACAAAGCTGCAGGGTCTCAAGTCTCTGGGCCATCCTCTACTGCTTTCCCAAGCCACAAGCAGGGAGCTGGATGGGAAGTAGAACAGCTAGCACACAAACCAATGCCCATATGGGATCCTGGCACATGCAATGAGAGGACTTTATCTACTATGCTACCATGCCCAGCTGCTCCACTTCTGAACCAGCTTTCTATTACTGTGCCTGGAAGAAGTTCCAAGCTTTAGAACAGCCTACCTCTGGCAGCTGAGGTAGGTGAAACAGTGGATGCAAGATCTGTTTTCCCTTCTCTCTCTGTAAATTCTGCCTTTATTATATATATATAATATATAATATATTATATAATATATTATATATAATATATATTAATATATTCCTAATTATATAATATTATATATATTATATGTTATATATATACACATTTAAAATCAAGAGCTTCTCAGGAAAAGGGTATATTCCATAGTTAGTTGTAGTTGAGTATCAGGGATACTGCGCATGAAGGACTTGGCAATGTTTCCCAGCACACAGTAGGTGTGCCGTAAGCAGGAATGGTGTCAGACAGGATCAGTCCCTGCAGGTTCATGAGCCCCCACAAGAACGGAGGGAGCTTCACGCAGTCAGCAGGTATAGCAGCACAGATTTGTTTTCTAGGGAAGCCGGAGCACAGGCCATCAAGCAGCAGGAGTGGGTCTGAAAGCAGCTTAGCTCAGGACGGGTGGGGAGCAGGGCTGTTAGGGAGACCCCCACCACAGGCTCCGAGCAGGTAATGTTGTCAGGCCAAAACTGGACTGGCCCTAGATCCTCTAAAGTGCGGTCTACACTTCAACACGTGTTTCCTAAGATTAGCTTTCCTCTTATTACTATTATTTTTAAAGATTTATTCATTTTTATTGGGAAGTCAGATTTACAGAGAAGGAGAAAGATCTTCCATCTGCTGATTCACTGCCCAAGTGGTCACAATGGCTGGAGCTGAGTTGATCCAAAGCCAGGAGCCAAGAGCCTCTTTCAGGTCTCCCACATGGGTACAGAGTCCCAAGATTTTAGGCCATCCTTTACCGCCTTCCCAGGCTATAACAGGGAGCTATAAGGGAAGTGGAGTAGCCAGGACTAGAATCAGTGCCCACATGGGACCACCATGTGTGCAAGGTAAGGAGTTTAGCCACTGGGCTACTGAGTCAGGCCTCAAACAAATTTTCTAATTTTTATAGCCTTTGACTTCTTTTTTGTTTATTTTCCTTAGTTATGTCCCATCTCAGTAGTTATTATTATGATGCAATAGCATCAGGCTCATGTAAGCTTGCAAAAGATTTTGCAAATCCTGTACCAGCCAACCTTTTATTTGTAAGAAAAAAATTTTTGACAAATGGATCTATATACACAAAAACCATGTTTTAGAATAGACTTTCCTTTTAACTATAATGAGATGAGCCTTTTTAGGCAAAACATATATTCATTATAGTAAAATGGAAAGCATTTGTGCAGTTAAAATTTAAAAAGGACAACTAAGGGTGATAGATAATTGACAAAAAAGAAAAACATGCTTAGAATACATTTGGTCAAAATTTTTAATTTTTAAAGACATATGGCAACAACATTTGTGGCTGAGCCATGCCAAAATCAGGAGCCTGGAATTCCATGCTGATCTCCCATCTGGGTATCAGGGGCCCAAGCAGCTTCTCTGCTTTCCCAGGCACATTAGCAGGGAGCTAGACGGGAAGTAGAGCAGCCAAGATTCAGACTTCTAGGAGATGCTGGCATTGTAGGCAACAGCTTAATTCTCTGCACCACAGCGCCTGTCCCTAGTTAATGTCCCTGCCACCTATTTTTTTTTTTAAATAAAGACAAGTTTTTTAATAATAATAATAAAACAAAAGCAAAATATCAAGAACTTGAATAGGTAATTAACAGAAGTAATACAAATGACCAAAAAACATAATGAAGGAGTGGGCAATATGGTACAGCAAGATAAGTCACCTCTTGCAACAGCAGTATCCCCTATCAGACAGTCAGATGAGCACTTCTGCTCTGCTTCCAACCCAGCCCTCTGAGAAGCCCCGACGATGGCTCAAGTGACTGAGTCCCTGGGGCCCGGCGCGGTGGCGCAAGTGGTTAAAGGTCCTCGCCTTGCACGCCCAGGATCCCATATGGGCGCCGGTTCTAATCCCGGCAGCCCCGCTTCCCATCCAGCTCCCCGCTTGTGGCCTGGGAAAGCAGTTGAGGACGGCCCAAAGCTTTGGGACCCTGCACCCGTGTGGGAGACCCAGAAGAGGCTCCTGGCTTCAGAACAGCATGGTATCGACCCGTTGCGCTCACTTGGGGAGTGAATCATCGGACGGAAGATCTTCCTCTGTCTCTCCTCTCTGTATATCCGCCTTTCCAATAAAAATAAAATAAATCTTTAAAAAAAAAAAAAAGTGACCGAGTCCCTACCACCCACCCTGGCTTCTAGATTCAGCCTGGTCCCCAGTCTGTTTTTGCAGCCATTTGGGGGTGGGGGGTGAACCACTGAACAGAAGATCCTTCTCTCCTGCTGTCACTCTTTCAAAT